CCGCGCCCGGCGGCGGCTCCCCCGCCTGGAGGATGGAGATCCCAGCCCCTCTCTGGGCGCGTTCCTGCCCCCTCCTGAGAAAGTTTTTCCTCACATCCGATCCGAGCTTCTCTTGCTGCGTCCTGAGCCCCTTGCTCCTTGTTCTGCCACCGCGGAGCATCCTCTTTGAAGGCTGCTATTAAATCCCCCCTCTCAAGTCTTCTCTTGTCCAGGCTAAATAAGCCCAGTTTCTCTCGGGTTCGCTTCACAAGTCATGTCCCTCAGCCCCTGGACCATTTTTGTTGCCCTCCGCTGGACTCTCTCCAGTTTGTCCACATCCTTTCTGTAGCAGGGGGCACCCAAACTGGACACAGTACTCCAGATGTGGCCTCATCAGTGCTACTTTTTCCTCCTACTCCTTCTCCTCTTCTTCCCCTTCCCCTTCCCCTTCCCCTTCCTCTTCCTCTTCCTCCCCTTCCTCTTTCACTGTAGATGAGGTTAGGGCTTTGGAGGCAGGTGAAGACCTGAGCTCCTGCCCCTTTCCCCTGGCCCCCCCCCAATCATAGTGGATTTTACATAAAGAAAGATGTTGAGTCCATTTCTAGGAGCGTTAGGTTTCACAAAGTGATCCCAAGGGGAGAGAATCCAGGGCTAACCAGGGACAGGGGCCTTGAGCTCAAGTGTGACTCCACCAAAAAAAAAAAAAGATAATGTGTTGGATGCCTAGGAGTGTAGTAATGGGACCTCTTCAAAGCCATTGGAGCAACTAGACATCTTTCCACGGACTGTGGCGGGCTATAGGTGGAATCAGTGTGAAAGCATCACTGCTTGCATGAAATCCTCATTGCCGTGGACATGCCAAGAAAAGGAAAAGCATCTCTTTGCTATAACTGAGCATCCAGCAAAATCTAGGTCTTGTATAGAATAATAATAAAGCTAGTTATAGCAAAATGCCCCTTTGGAAGTGAATACGTTCTCTACATTTATTATTCATGCTCTTGGTTAAGACAGACAAATAAAGAGAGAAATTTAAAACTGAGGGCTAGGGACTGTGGAATGGATTAAATTTGAATTTGGATTCTAAAGCCAGCCAGCCAGCCAGCCAGCCAATGAATTAAAATTTGAAAGTATTTTTTATTTTGATTTCCATCTCAGGATCTGTTGCAAGATGTGAAAATGAAGGGGAAGTGCTGCAGATACCATTTATCACAGACAATCCTTGCATCATGTGCATTTGCCTGGTAAGTTTGGATTTCAGATCTTAAGAGCACTTCACCCTATTCTAAAAGTAACTGTACAAAGGCAACACATTATATAATCAAGCCTTGGGTATCTGTTGCATTTATGTAATACAAGGTTATCTCACTGCTGAGCTAACCAGGAAATATTGCTGTCCATTATCTTGCAATCATATCTTGGACTTTAAACTCATTGACACAGTCTTATGAGTGACTTTAATATGACATTGTGAGACTCACTGTTCACTGCACTCATTATGTGAATTCATAGCAAACACTGCTTTCTCAAAGTCGAAAGTGCTTCAGTACGAAAGAGTCCTGTGGAGATCTTACCTACAAACACAGCAAGGAGGGTAACGTGCAGGGAGCTTGTGGATGCTACTGCTTTCAGTCTAGCTCTACCTAATGTCAGATAGTGACTGCTGAAAAACTGCACAAAGGATCAAAGTAAAGGATGCAACAAGTTAATAAAGCCATAATATTAAAATAACTTAAAATAAAAAACCTTTAGTTTTACAAGGATAATGCAGTATATATTCCAGGCATCCCTAACTATATTGTAATAAAAGGACAATGCAAGCACACATGATGCTTTTATCAGAAAGCTTTTCTCTGAAGATGACACTGTTATTAGTTCTGGGAATTCAGCTGCTCTAGTAGTTTACAATGATGCAAGTTCATAGTTTTTCCCTGAGGAAATATGCCATATTCTTATACTGGCTTTCAGCTAAGGAAATGCACTCAAGCTAAGACAAATGAGGGTCCATAAGTTGCTGAAAAATAAATTTGCATGTATAATGTTGTTAAAAATGAAACCAAATCTTAGCTTACTGTACAATGCAAAGAAGAAATGCTTATAAACATAATTCCTCATCCTCTGAAACATTATTTCATGTTTCAGAGGGTGAGGAAAGAGGTGTACCTTCTGATTATTACCTAAGCAATGATTTCCCTTACTTGACTGAATAACAAGTCTTATCACTCTTATTAGTGATAATATTTCTAAAATTCTCAGCACTATAGTAGCTTTATACATAGAAAAGAATGTTTCAGACTGCCTATTGGGAAGCTGCTCCATGCAGTTGCAAGAAGCACAGTGCCTCTGATCCAAAACACACTCAGTTCAATGTGTATTGTTCCATTGATTTCAGTGGATTTTGCATGACACCCAATGTCAATCTTTAGATATTAATAATAAAGAACAGATAGTGTATAATTTGGGAAGAAAAGAATGGGATGTAAAGAGTAAAGAAATAAAAGGGGAAAAAGTGTGTTTTATAATGGGTTCTGGATCTTATCTTTCCCAAACATCTGCCACATAACTCCTCCAAAAGGAAGCAAGCAGTGAGGAAGCAATTTACATGGGAAGGAGCAGAAGCCCTGTGTTGGATTAAAACTAAAAATGAAGGAAAACACACACACACACACACACACACACACACACACACATACACACACACACAAGATCCTCTTTATAGTTTGAATACTTAAATCACTCAATACACTTCTAGAGAAGGTGAAATTAACATGGCATGAACATGAAAACTTGAAAAAATATGGAAAGACCAGAAGCAATAACTCTCAGTCGATTTAGTTTACATATGTTGTTGTGAGCAAACAGAAGCATCAAACAGGCGTTTAGGAGGCAGTTTGGTTTTCTACCCTGTATTTTAAATAGTGAAGGTGAGGGAAAAATTGCTGTGACCTGCCTTGAAGCTTCTATTTTTCCCTTCTGCTAAAGAGAAGCCGAGAATTCAGATGCAGAAGGAGAAACCTATTAGAGGGGATCATATGTGGTTAGGAGATATTTTTAACATCATGTATATTCCATGAGTATAAAGACTTCCCCGATAAACAGATTCTGACATTTTTGGCCATAAAAGAACTGAGTAGAGTAGAAAGAATTGGACTCGTGCGTTTTGACCAAAAAGAGGAAAGGAAATACAAGGCCTTTGATGTGCTGATTTGCAATCAGGTATTCCATACATTAGCTATCAAGGATACTGTTGGAACAAAAAGCCATGGGGGATCTAACTTGTGTGATAGTCATCCTTGTAGTATGCAGCTACAAAGAAAGATTCTTCAACCATCCCAGGAAGGCAAGAATTTCTCATTGGCAATTCCATAATAAGAAGAGTAGACAGAGAATTCAACAAAGGACACAAGAATGACATCCCTGCTTTGCAAAACTGGAGCAAAACCACAGGATTAAATGGATTATGAAGTTGTCTGGCATATTGGAACCAATGATGGGATATTACATGGAACTAACGACACAAATTAAAGGACCTCAGGAATCCTGAAAGAACAGGAAAATTCCAAGGAATCATCCAAAAGATTTTTTTCAATTTCATAAGTGAAAAATGACAAATGGCAGGTGAATCATTGGCTGCATAACGGTTGTACAACCAAAGAATTTTTGTGTGGAATATTGAGCTACTGTACAAGGGAGACAGTACAAATAAGAGCTTGTATCTCATATCTAGGTTGAAGCAGCAAGGGGAACACTAAGGTGGTGTACCCTTAGTACAGTGTGGTGGGGGGTGCTAAGAAAGTGAATATGGTACAAAGTCAAAACCCAGCATATTATGAACACATCAAAACAGTGGCAAGAAATGCAAAGAGAAAACATTTTCCAATTGCTTATACATCAGTGTTAGGAGTCAAGCAAGGAGAATAGATAATTCTCAGTGATGAGGAGAATTTTGATAAAATTGATATTACAGAAAGTAGATTGGATGCTTTGTATTACTGGAATGTTAAAATCACTGATTATGATCGATTTAAAAAGGATAGCATTGGTAAACGGTTGCTGGGAGTGCCATTTTATATCAAAGATGCTATTACTTTTTTAGAGTTATTGACGACTCAGAATCTCAGCATTTAGAGCAGAGGTGTAATGGGGCACTTAGGTACCCTGGGTGGCAGCCATGCGTCAAGGCGGTATCAGCTGCTGGTCTCTTTTGTGCCCCTTCCAAAGTTGGTGCCCAGGTCTGGTGCATCTGTCATCTTCTCCTTTGTTATGCTAATGGTTCTGAATAAACATAATCAATGATCTAACAGTAACACCCCAAATGGGGTATGAGGTATTGGTGAGGTCTGTAATGAACTGCTGAATTAAACTAGGGTACAGGATGAGATATTTTCTAAGCACCTGTATATAACACAAAGAAAGAAACAAACATTTTTACATGACTTCTGTTTGCGAGATGTGTGCTAAGAGGCTTAAGCAGCGTTAGGAAATCAATAATGGGCACGTCTACTTGTGCAATTAATGTGCATGAATAAACTCAAGAGCTTATTGCTTTGGAGCTTTTTTCATGCACAGCACATGGAATCTTGTTGGAGGAACCTGGGTTGGATGGGGACCCAGGGAGTCAGCCAGCCAGCTCAGAGCTGCTCAGGCAAGGGCGCCATGTGCATCAGTGAGGGTGGGTGGGTTAGAGGGAGGGTTGGCTAGGGCATGGGGGTGCATCAGTGCAGAGGCTGCCTGTTGGCTAGCCCCACACTGAAGAATGCTGTGCCCCAGCCAGCTAGGGAAGCATCTACATGTGCACTGCTGCACACAAAAAAAACTCCTCAGCAGGGTAGTACTTGCATTTTACAAGACTACCTTGCTCTTGATTTGTTAGTTTTGTGTGCCCTAGAAGGGGCGCACATGTAGATGTTGAGACATTTACTGCGCAGTTAATTAGTCAGCTGCACAGTAAATGTCTTGTGTAGACACACCCAATGTTTCTAAAATTAAAGTCAATGATTTTCTAATACAAAAGAGATTGAACCGAACATAAGGTAAGTCAGTTTTGGATCTTGTTATGAACAATAAAGATGAATTAATCACTGGACTGGAAGTTACTGTTGGCTTAGGACTAATGAAAATGACTTGATTACATAGAGTATGGGAAAGCAGAGGACTTTCCAACCAGTAATGTATGCATGTATGTATATATGTATTTATACATACATAGAGTGGATATTTCAAATGTGGCAGATTCCCAAGGCTGAGGAAGAACTGATACAAAATTAACTGAGAGAAAAAAATGTAGGTAGGAAAATGTGAATTAAAATGAGTACTTCTTAATGAAGAATGTATTGGGTGGTCAGAAAACCATGATTCCAATGTCAAAAAAGAAAGCTTTGGCTAATATCCTAACCTGGTTCACTTGTGAAGTGAAGGCAGCAAACAGAAATTTAAAAAGCAATCTATAACAAATGAGTGGGGGAAGCAATATTAATCAATATAAGTTAGAAATTATGTCATGCAGAAAATTGATAAGGGGAACTAAACACAGAGAAAATCCATAATTGTCAGGGATAAATACAATAAAAATGAGTTTTTAAAACATAGTGCAAAAGAAATCTCAGTAATGGTATGGACCTGTTAAGAGATGGGGATGGTACAATTGTTAATGATGTTGCAGAAAAGGTAAAAGCATTCAATAAATATTTCTGTTCTGTATTTGAAAAAAAAGTGGGTTGTTGTGTTCACATCACAAAAGCACTTTCTAGTCCATTAGCAACTAAGGAGGATGTTAAGCAACCTCTCTAGAGATAAATATATTTAAATCAGTGGGCCAGATACTTTGTACCCAGCAGTCCAGAAAGAATTGGCCGTGGAGATTTCTGGATCACTGATGTTAAATTGTAATAAATCTTGGAGCACATTGCAATTTCTAGAAGACTAGAAGAGCATTAATGTCATGCCAAAATTTAAAAATGGCAAGTGGGATCACCTGAGTGATAGGCCAGTTAGTCTGACATCATTCACAGGCAAAATCATGGAAAAACTGACAAAAGATTCAATAAATAAAGAATTAATGGATGGGAATGTAATTAATACCAGTTATGACGGTTTTATGGAAAACAGGCCATGCCAAACAAACCCTGACTTCATTCTCTGAGCAGATGAGAAGCTTGATTGACAAAAGGCAAAGGGATAGATGAAAGGATAGATGAAAAAACAGTGACAATTAGTAACAATTTAGAGAGTTCTAGCCATTTAA